AAGCATAAATCCGCAAAAAAGAGTGACAAGAAAAATAGACAATGACATGAAACTTTAACAGATAGGAATAACTGACGTCTTGTCTTTTGTGTGTTATTTAAAAAACGTTTAACTGTTGTTTTAAATCATTTCCGACTGCAATGCATTGTGGGCAGGGTTACCAGATTGCTGAATAAATAAGCCAGACATTGTTATAAACGGCCCTTTGATGTCTTTGTTTCGAACAAAGAAAACAAAAGATTATGATAATAACATTTGGCTTATTTATTCAGCAATCTGGCAACCCTGATTGTGGGTAGATCGACAGCCGCCATCTTTTTTATTAAGGCGAATTGTGGAATTTTTTAGTCGAACTTTTAGATTGAAATCATCGAATCCTTGAGAGTTGACGAGAATTGGGAAGCTAGAGTTTGCATAAGAGTTTTCTCAACTCTCATGCCCCGGTCAAACGTGAACAAGAGTTGCATTAGAGTTCATGAGAGTTGCCTAGAGATTAATACCGCGCGACTCAGTAAAGCATTACTATTGATTGAGATTGCAAATTTTGTGACCGCTTTAACAATTTAGACTTTAGAGAGCCGCTTTGAGCGCATGAAAATATTTCACGCGCGCGTGCCTACACGCGAGCGTGAAAGATTTTCACGCGCGAGCCCCTGCGAGCGAGCCACACAGCGGAAATTACCATTAGCCCTAGTCTTTATTTGATATCATTGCGCGCGGCCAATTTTCCTTCTTTTCAAAATCTACTTTTGGATTTAGCGCATTCAGTATCAAAAATGGTGAGTAAAATTGCCTAAAATTGTTCAAATTTTAACAAGTGAATGGGATAAAATGTATCGTGGTGGAATATCTAAGTATTGTATTCTTGGATTCCCTTCAGATGGATCCAGGATGGCTTATTTTGAACGTATTATTTTAATATTAATTGATGTTGTCATTTGTGTTGTAGCCGTCACACAAATCTTTCCAGATCAAAAGAAAACTGGCCAAAAAGATGAAGCAAAACCGGCCGATCCCACAATGGGTCAGAATGAGGACAGGAAACACTATAAGGTATCTATGATATTACATTTTCCAACTTTTTCACATGCACTGTATGTGTATTAAGTCTTGGGTCTGAGGTTTAATTAATATAATCAAAGTGACTATATCTATGGGCCCGTAAACAGACTTCGCCAGGCTATATTTACGGCATGAGAGCATGTACTAACTGACCGCAACCAGCACAATAAAATGCATTGTTTACGAAGGATTACCCTGCAAGCAAAGTCCTCTTGGATCTCTTCTTGGCACAGAGAAGCGAGAGAGACTCTGCAGGACTTGTGTATAAATTCATTTGCAACTGCCAAAACTCTATAAAGAAACATCAGTAGGTAAATGAGAAACACTGTCAGCACCTCATTCTCTCGCTTCTCCATGCTGTGCCGAGAAGAACTATGAGAGGACTTTGCTTGCTGGGTAATGAAGAAATATTTCAGCGAGCTCGAAAATGGCTCAGAAGGTTAGGCAAATGGCTGCTGTGTTGTAGCATGGATTGTAAAATAACTGGATAGGAGGAAACTTCCTGACGTCCAGGCCTCGAAATAAGTGCCGGTCACTGACCGGTAAAATTTCACAGTTTGTCCGGCAAATACCATCGCCTGGCGGACATGCGTGACTGGTAAATTTTTTAATAAAAAAGTACGTTCAAAAATGGAGCAGATTTTTGATTTCTAATTTTCCAAAGAAGTGTATGTCCGTCTACGGTGCAGGCTAATAAGGGCGGCAAAGTGACACATTTTGTCATACAGATACGATATACTGCAAGCATTGTGCCTAAGGGCTGTTTTCCAGTTACGCGTTTTTCACACGTGCGACGGAAAAGTTCAAATCGTTTAAATTTCATATAAGTGCAAATAACCTTGACAAATACACATTAAATCATACACAAAACTGAATGCTGTCCTTTTATAAATTTAGTTATTTCATAAGTAGGATGTAAAGCGATTTCAACTTTTACATGCGTGTACGCACGTATGAAAAACACGGAACTGGAGTGCAGCCTAAAGCATGCTCGCAACTCAAACTACAGTTGTCATTTGCGACTTAATATATTAATTTGCTAGTAAACAATGTTAATGTTAATAGTAACACTACTAAGTCTACAGCTTTGATAAATGCCATACTTCTACTTTGTATACAAATACAATTAAAATACACAATTGGTTCTAAAGTTACGAATCACACGAAAGATGAGGGGGAAAAGAAGCTAAGGAGTGACAATGACCGGCATAACTTCTGCTGTGACCGGTAAATTTAGTGATCCACTGGTCATAATGACCGGTATAACATCCAGATTTATTTCGAGGCCTGCTGACGTCACAGTCTAAACCTAGTTGGAATATGTGACGTCACATGTATTGCCAAAGTTCTCAGCATTTTGTTTTTTTTGCTATATTTTCTGTTTTAAAAGAGTAATATTGAAGCATAAACTGGTTGTTTTAAAATTGTTTTAAAAACATGCCTAAGCCACGACAAAGTATTCAAGGTAAATGTTTTTCGTCTTTGTTTTGTATTTTTTGCATTTAACGAAATTTGGGATGCATTTTTCACTGTTTTGTGCTTGAAATATTTGCTAAAATTGACTGGGAATACTTAGAGATTTCATCGTAGAATGGCCTAGTTATATTTATTTGCTCTTTGACTAAAATGTTTAGCTGTATTATTGCTAAACATGCCATTTTTGAGAACTTGGTTTGCAACTAGGTTTCAACGCCATCATCCCATTGAAAACATTAGGTCACATCAGCTAGTTTCCTATCCATGTATTTTATTATCCATGGTTGTAGTAAGAACCTGACTTGGGATGGTTTTTTGTTCTCAACAAAACATGTTTAACTTTTTTCTGACTAGTTTTATTTTTGTTCCCTGTTAGGGGAAGGATTGGGGTTAGGGTTATTTTTGTTTTAATTTGACTCATAAAGACAAAGACAGGCAGGCCTCGAAATAAATGTGGAAAGTATACTGGTCATCATGACCGGTGGATTATGAAAATTACTGTTCACAGTGGCTCTTTCGCCGGTCATCTTAGTTGTTTTTTCATTTGATTTCCTCATTTGATAATTTTCTGAAGTAACTTTCTTAATTGGTGAGAATAACGAAAAAAATTATAAATGTTGTCTTGAATTATGAAGTTTTGTACAGTGTTGAATTAGCAGGTCGCAATTTGCAAGCCGATTTCTTGCTTTTGCGATTTGAAAATTTTATTTTTGCGAATCGAAATTTTTTAATAAATGTCTTAGTTTTCAATTTTTGTTTTTTCTAAAAAAACATGTGAAACGATAAAGAAAAACCTGGTATATTTTACATATTTGCGCAATTTGGGACAAAGTCAGAGGGACGAAGTTTACGAGGAAATTTAATAGCCGCCATCCTGCCGCCCCAAGTCCCATCAAGGTTGTTTACATCACGGTTTTCGGCTTTTCGCACATGTCGTGAACAGAATGGTGGAGTAATCTGCTTCACTGAACACGGTAGCAATCTTAGAAGAACAATGTACATATAGCCAAATAAGTGCATGTATTTTCAATGTATAAACTTGAAAAATAATGAAAGAACAAGTAAATGGTAAACTAAAGGACTGTATTAATTCTTTCTCAATAAAGATTGAAATGTAAAGTATATTCGTTAACACAATTTGTTCCTCGAGTGCACACAAAGACTTACCAGTTGCGGTAGCTACAAGAGTCAAGAACGGCATTTGTTTATTATTAAAACGGTGTTCTGTTTTAACAGAAATTCTAAACTTAAAAGTTTTCTTTATAAGAAGCTTGTGAAGCGAGTTTTCCGGAAGGGCAGGACTTCATTTAAGATGTCTATTCGGTATTTTGCGGGCAAGAATCTCAAAATTTTCCTTCAAAAAAATTGCAAGTCGACTTTTTCTCCCTAATTCGAACCCTGCATGTTATATTCTTGTTCACAAAAGGATATTTCGTATTTGAATCTCCGGTGAGAAACAAAACAGTTGTTTGCCATAACATATATCTGAGCCACACAGTTTTAATGAAATGGGGATCCACTCGTGTATACATTTTTCCATTCAAA